TCAGGCCACTTGTCAGGCTCCCTTCTAACCTGCTTTCCTAGAAGTTCTACTCACAACTTCAACTTATATCTCCTTGGCTACCCCTATCTCAAGGGAGGCTTTCAGCTTTTCTGAATACAGTTCAGATACAAATACAATTTTTCTGACTCTTAATATCCTCATCTGCAAAAATAGGGAGTTCTCCATTTATTAGTGTTTCATTATGCATGGGTGCCTTCATTTATTCATGAACCACATCAAGCATCAGGGCTGAACATACTGCTTAATGCACCTGGGCCTGGTGATGGGGGCTCTGTCCCTGTTCCTGATGACTGCTGAGCACTGACCATATGACGGGCTGGGTACAAAATGCTCCCTGTAGAGTAATACTCACCATTATTCCATGGGTTGCTTTTGTCCCCACGTGCTGTGTGAAGACAGCAGCGGCCCTGCAGGGGGTGAGCCCAGTGGTTATGTCACTCTGTACAGTGACAGGAGGTGTGCAGCTCAGTGTCGTCCCCACCTGTGGGGCCTGTGAAGTGAGCCTGCCTTCTGCAGACCCTGCAGACTTGCTGACGACGGGACAGCTCCGTGCTGTGTGCAGGAAGTGTCAGAACAATGAATCCCTGCAGCCTGGAGGTCTGGGCACGCCCCCAGAGATTTCCCCTGTGTGTTCTGGAATGTTTAGTATGGTTGACCTTGCCGGTGATTTATGAAATACCTTAAAAATAGTTTTTACCTAGAGATAAAATATGGCCCTGATTCTTGTGCATACAATAACCATTGTACTTGTTGATGACTTCAGCTATAGTTGTTTGAAATCAGTATTATATTCACCCAGAACACTTAATAAAATAGTTTCCCCAGCAAGCACCTAGCTTCTGAGAAGAATTTCCTCTGGTGGTACAAGAAAACCATTCATGTCTTACCCTTAAGAGGTGATGGATAAAATTATACTGATTACGAAGAAAATATTTGTCCAGGAAAGAAAACTTGCTGTCTCTATTGTGTAGATATCCACGTTTTTCTGAGTCTGACCTCACTCAGCTCTGGCAGCAAGGATCACTGGCCCACCTGCTCCGGGACGCCCCCTGATGTGGCCAATGTGAGGATCCCCCTCCCCATGCTGCTCTCCACACAAATCAGGCTTAATCTGGCTCTGGCCTTGAACTTAATATTCCTAACTCTTTTCCTCAACATATAGAAGGCCACCTGATTTATGGTGTTTGAATTTCTGTTTCTCATTAATCGGCATTTCCTTTTTTTTTTTTGTGGTACACGGGCCTCTCACTGCTGTGGCCTCTCCTGTTGCGGAGCACAGGCTCCAGACGTGCAGGCTCAGCAGCCATGGCTCACGGGCCCAGCCACTCCGTGGCATGCGGGATCCTCCCGGACTGGGGCACGAACCTGTGTCGCCTGCATAAGCAGGCGGACTCCCAACCACTGCGCCACCAGGGAGACCCAATCGGCATTTCCCAGACGTCCTCAATTTTTGCATTATCAGCAGACAGAAAGGTGGCAGCCTCTAATGCCAACTCTGTTCTGCGTAATAGAGTGGGGTCAGGTGAGTTCCTTCTTGCCTGTCAGATGGACACTCTGAGAGACACTCCATGGGGAGATCCCCTTGTTCTCTGCAGAATCAGTCTCGAGACTCGGAAAGAGAAACTGCCCATGGTGTGGGAGGTCATGCGAGGCCGACACTCAAAGGCAAAGCTAAGTCAGGGGCCACTTTGTTTCCACGGACTCGTTAGAAAGCATGGGCAATGGAGCCAGACAGAACTGGACTCTAGATTCTAACACTGCCAATCACTGGCCTGTGACCCAGGGCAGGTCACCTAACCTCTCCAGCTGTGTCTTCCTTCCTTCCTTCCTTCTTTCCTTCCTTTTTAAAAATAGACTTTCTCTTTTAGAGTAGTTTTAGGCTCACAGCACAATTGAGAAGGAAGTTCAGAGATTTCCCTTATATCCCATCTACCCCACACATGCACAGCCTCTCTTACTATCAACATTCCCCACTAGAGCGGTACATTTATTGTAATTGACATATCCTTATCACCCAAGGTCCATAGTTTACACTAGGGTTCACTCTTGGTGTTGTACATTTTATGGGTTTGGACAATCGTCTAATGACATATACCCATCATTATAGTATCATTCACAGTATTTTCACTGCCCTAAAAATCCTCTGTGCTCTATCTATCCGTCCCTCTCCCCTCACCTGGCAACCGCTGATCTATTTACTATCTCTGTAGTTTTGCCTGTTCCAGAATGTTATGTAGTTGGAATCCTATAGTATATAGCCTTTTTAGATTGGTTTCTTTCATTTAGTAATAGTCATTTAAGGTTCCTCCATGTCTGGATAGCTCATTGCTTTTTAGCACTGAATAATATTCCATCATCTGGACGTACCATAGCTTGTTTATCCATTCACCCACCAAAGGGCATCTTGGTTGCTTCCAGGTTTTGGCAGTTATAAACAAAGCTGTTATAAACATCTGTGTGTAGGTTTTCAAGTGTCCCTTTCTTCATCAGCAGCAACATGGGGATTTTGGAAGCATGAAGCTGGACAAGACACAGACAGCCCCTAGTACACTGCTAGGTACCACATGTGCTCTGAGTCCCTGTTCTTGATTACTGCTATTACTGCTCCCTCTCCTGTGCTAATGACAAACAGACTGATGAAGACCCTGTAGTCAGTCTTTAAGGTTTCATTTACTGGGATGGGAGGGAGAGGGAGTTTGACATAACATGACTTTCCAGAGAAAAAGAACAAAAAGTAACTGTGTTACTCAGGGAAAGAGAATGCCTCTCAGGAACTGAGCAATGTGTGCTTTCAAGGATTACAGGAGTATGGAAGGAAGGGGGACAGGCCACAGATAGATTTAATTCGTGGACCTAACAGAGGGGGCAAGGAGGTTATCCACTCCTGGGGCACCTGTGTACCATTGAGACTCTCATAGGTCTGAATCACGAGTCCTGTAAGCTACAATCAAGGAAAAAATGACAGTCAAAAGAAACTTCACAGCATGGAAAAGGGGTGTGAGAGCTCCGAAGCTTAGGGCTGGCGTGGCCTTAAAGTGGCCTGCACAGCTGACAGCTTACAGCCTTCTGCCAGTGTGGACTCCTGTCTCTGCACATCTGTGGGGAGTGCAGTGTGGTGAAGAAGGCCTGGGCTTTCTAGTTAGGTAGATGTGAATGGGTTCCAGTCCTGGCTCTGCTGTGTGGCTTTGGGGAAGTTATATAACCTGTCTGATCCTCAGCTGATAGATGGCATTATAATACCTACGTGTGGAGTTGTGGTAGGGGTCAAATGAAGTAATATTTATGAAGTACTTTGAGAAGTGTGTAGTCATGGTAGATAGTTGTTTTTATAGCATCTGGAAAGCAGAATTGGTCTGGCATTGCTCGTTGTAGGGAACCATTGTCTGAGGCAACCCAGTCCCACTGTTACAAATGTGTCCTTAGCCTAAGTTGAAATCAGTTCTCCTGTACACGTAGAACATGGGATGAGAACATGTCCAACTCCTGTTGTGTGAAATATTTTGAGATGTTTGACACTGATGACAGCTTCTTTCTCTACCTCGACCATGCCTTCTGGATAAAGTGTCCTCAGTGCCTCTAAGCATCCCTTTATGTCACTTATCAAGCCTGAGATCAAGATCTGGAATTTGACAGATGAAAACACAGTTACTTTTCAAAGCAGCAATATGATAGTGGCAATTGTATCTCTTTTTTTTAAAAAAGAATCAATTTAATTAATTTATTTATTTTTGGTTGCATTGGGTCTTCGTTGCTGCATGCGGGCTGTGTCTAATTGCGGAGAGCGGGGGCTACTCTTCGTTGTGGTGCGTGGACTTCTCATTGTGGTGGCTTCTCTTGTTGCGGAGCACGGGCTCTAGGCGCACGGGCTTCAGTAGTTGTGGCACGCGGGCTCAGTAGTTGTGGCTCACGGGCTCTAGAGCGCAGGCTCAGCAGTTGTGGCACAGGGACTTAGTTGCTCCACAGCATGTGGGATATTCCTGGACCAGGGATCGAACCTGTGTTCCCTGCATTGGCAGGCAGATTCTTAACCACTGTGCCACCAGGGAAGCCCTATTGGCTAACTTCGTTTCATTGATACCCTCATCTATTCACCCTGAGAGACACAGAAAATATGGCAGATGGTGCTTAAGACCATTTTCAAAGCTAAAAATCCACATGTTCAAGTTGCCATGGAAGCTTGAGAATGCCTGGTGTACACAGAAGGCCTGACGGGTTCATTTGGGGAAATGGTTGTTGTCAAACAGGGTCAGGCCAGGTGAAGCTGGATCTTGAACAGGGCTTACAGGACTGAGACATATGGTGATAGGATGGAGAGTGGCATGGAAGGGATGGAGGGTGTGGGATTGGGATAAAACCTGTGAGTTGCCTTCCAGTGAGTGAAGAGTGGGCTAATGGCAGGGTGACACAAAGGTCAGATACCCAAGCAGCCCCCTTCTAAAGTATGTTGGCAAGGGGCCCCTATTGAGCAACTCAAGAACAAACAGACATATAAATAGCATCACGAAAGGCCACACAGCAGTGTCTGAGCTGTTACCAAATCCAGTCTGCTAACTAAACACGTGGGGGGAAATGGGAAAGTCTCCTCTCCTCTACTAAAGGTTTAAAGCATAAGCAGACCCAAGGTCAATAAACTGATGCCATCAGGGTGGGAGCAGGAGGGGGGAAATGGAGGAAAGACGCGAAAGTGAAGCATGATTTAGTAATTCTGGAAAGAACAGTGCTGCACATAACCAAGAAGTTATTTCAGTGGGAGGTGAAAAGAAAACAAAAATCTCAAAATCAGAGAGGGAGGCTGATAGGGGAAAATGAGAAAAGAAACAAAAGTGGAAGAATGATTTAATGAGTTCTGGGAAGAAAGTGTGTAACTGAATTGAGGGTCTGATTGATGGGATGGGTTTTAGAAAGAAAATGGAACCTTGCTTTCTGCCTATGGACGCTGCCGTGTAAGCATCGTTGACATCTCCCCCTCCCCAGCCGTCATGTCTAAGTCAGAGTCTCCCAAAGAGCCCGAACAGCTGCGGAAGCCGTTATTCGGAGGTTTGAGCTTTGAAACAACCGATGACAGTCTGAGGAGCCATTGTGAGCAGTGGGGAACGCTCACAGACTGTGTGGTAATGAGGGATCCAAACACCAAGCGCTTCAGAGGCTTCGGGGTTGTCACGTATGCCACTGTGGAGGAGGTGGATGCAGCCATGAAGGCAAGGCCACAGGAGGTGGGTGGAAGAGTTGGGGAACCAAAGAGGGCCGTCTCAAGAGAAGATTCTCAAAGACCTGGTGAAAAAGATGTTTGTTGGTGGCATTAAAGGAGACACTGAAGAACATCACCTAAGAGACTATTTTGAACAGTATGGGAAAATTGAAGTGATTGAAATCATAACTGACCAAGGCAGTGGTAAAAAGAGAGGCTTTGCTTTAGTAAGCTTTGATGACCATGACTCTGTAGACAAGACTGTCATTCAGAAATACCACACTGTGAATGGCCACGACTGTGAAGTAAGGAAAGCCCTATCTCAGCAAGAGGTGGATAGTGCTTCATCCAGCCAAAGAGGTCAGAGTGGTTCTGGAAACTTTGGTGGTGGCCGTGGAGGAAACTTCAGTGGTCGAGCTGGCTTAGGTGGCAGCCGCGGTGGTGGTGGCTGTGGTGGCAGTGGGGATGGCTATAATGGATTCGGTAATGATGGAAGCAATTTTGGAGGTGGTGGAAGCTACAATGATTTTGGCAATTACAACAATCAATTTTCAAATTTTGGACCCATGAAAGGAGGAAACTTTGGAGGCAGAAGTTCTGGCCCCTGTGGTAGTAGAGGCCAATACTTTGCCAAACCACGAAACCAAGGTAGCTGTGGTGGTTCCAGCAGCAGCAGTAGCTATGGCAGCGGCAGGAGGTTGTAATTACTGCCAGGAAACAAAGCTTAGCAGGAGAGGAGAGCCAGGGAAGTGACAGGGAAGCTACAGGCTACAACAGATTTGTGAACTCAGCCAAGCACAGTGGTGGCAGGGCCTAGCTGCTACAAAGAAGACATGTTTTAGACAATACTCATGTGTATGGGCAAAAAAACCCTTGAGGACTGTATTTGTGACTAATTGTATAACAGATTATTTTAGTTTCTGTTCTGTGGAAAGTGTAAAGCATTTCAAAATTGATTTTTTTTGTTTTTTCTTAACATCTTTATTGGAGTATAATTGCTTTACAATGGTGTGTTAGTTTCTGCTTTATAACAAAGTGAATCAGCTATACATATACATATCCAGCAAAGGGTTTTAATGTAGAGGTTTTTTTTGCACCCATGCTGTTGATTGCTAAATGTAGTAGTCTGATCATGACACTGAATAAATGTGTCTTTTTTTAAAATGTGCTGTGTAATGTTAGTCTACTCTGAAGCCATTTTGGTAAACTACCCCAACAGTGTGAAGTTAGAATTACTTTAGGGTGATGCCAGGTTCCATTCAAAATTTATTTACAGCCTGCTTTGGTGGAGAAGCTATTGTCTTCAGAAACCTTGGTGTAGCTGAACTGACAGTTACTGTGTTGTGACCTGGAGTTCACCGTGAAAAGGGTCACCCAAGCAAAGTTATGGAGTTTTTTGGTTATTAATATGATTGCTGGCACATCCTATGCCATATATCTAAATTGAATTATGGTACCAGATAAAGTTATAGATGGGAATGAAGCTTGTGTATCATCCATTATCATGTGTAATCAATAAACTATTTAATACCCTCTTGGAAAAAAAAGAAAGAAAACAGAATCTTAAGGGAAGTTGGGAATGTCTGAAATGGTTCCTGGTTCATTCGTTTTCAATTAAAATTTTATGTGTAAAATTATGATCAGCCATTGCCAACAGGACGTGTAGCATCTCTGTTGATATTGTTTGCCGCTCCGTGGGCTTACAAGGATAATACAATTCAAAGTTGCCATTTACCCCCCAGGAGGAAAGCCTGGAAGTGATTAGGAAGAACCTTTCTTTGGTTGCTCTGAGTTGTAGCTAAGAGAGAGAAAAAAAGAACGAGGAAAATAGGTGCGTGCTGCCTATGGGCTGGAATCCCAGCAGTTTTACTGGCGTGAGTTCAACTCTGCCCATAGAGGCAGAGCTCCATGGGGGAAGATGGAGTGGACGATAGAGGTGATAGCTGACTGAGGAGGCAAAAAACAGGGAGAGGACCTGAGACCTGAGCGTGATGATTCTCAGCCGTGGGGTTGAAACATGACAGCATGACTCTTACTTGTCATGGGAAGTTATCAGCTCCAAGATACCTACAATGGGGACAGCTTGTACAGAGATGTGAATGTCAGATCAAGCTTTTGAGTATTACACCAAGGGTAGGAAGCATTAGAGGCATTGTAGCCAAGAGAAGTCTCAATCAGGGTTGCCTTAAGAAAGATCACTGTGGGACTGCATGATCAAGGTTCTCCAGGGAAACAGAACCAACAGGATACATATATAAGGAGATTTCTTGTAGGAATTGGCTTATGTGGTTATGGAGGCCAAGAAGGGCCACAATCTGCCGTCTGCAAGCTGGAGATCTAGGAAAGCAGGTGGTGGGCTGGTAATTCAGCCCAAGGCTGAAGCCTGAGAACTGGGGAGGAGTGGGGAGCTTTCTGAGTCTGAAAGCTTGAGAACAAGGAGCATTGGAATCTGAGGGGAGAAGATGGTCATCTTAGCTCCAGCAGAGAGAGCAGAGTGTCCCTTCCTCTACATTTTTTTGTTCTATTTGGACCCTCAACAGATTGGACGTTGCCCACCTACACTGGGGAGGGTGATCTGCTTTGCTTATCAGTTCACCAGTTCAAATGCTAATCTCTTCTTGAAACAGTATCTCAGGCCCAGGAATAATATTTTATAAGCTATCTGGGCATCCTGTAGCCCAGTCTAGTTGACACATAAAATTAACCATTACAGCCACTCTGCCAATATTGTCCCCTCTCTCCTCCCCAGAGCCTAGGTCACAAGAGAGACCATTCTTATTTATGCCCATGCAGAGGGTGGGGGATGTCTGGAGGTACCGTTGAAGTGGGGAGGAAATGTGGTCATGGGTCTTGACTAAAGTGTTGAGAGGAGGGCAGAGGATTGGAGAGATTCAAAGGGGTATCAGCTGATACAAAGCCACACATACCTTTACAAGTGACTAGGGTTATACTGAGGCCATTTAGCACCCTGCACAAGGGCAGTATGGATCTTCACTTCAGGTATTTGGTCTGGTGACTGAGTTCTCTGAGGCTAGGTTTGGGTAGGGATTAAAATTTTTTTTTTTAATTTAGAAATAATTTTAGACTTACAGAAAAACTGGGAAAATGCGGAGAATTCCCTTACACCCAGCTTTTTGGCATATAACTAGGAAGGAGTTCAAAGAACTGAGAGACATCTCTATAGCGCAACTCCATTCTATTCTGCTTATTTAAGAGAACTGTTTTTCAAGACTTGGATTTATAAAAGCTGAAAAATAAATAATGTTTATCTTTGTATGCATGAACTAATTTATACAAACATCCCATCCATCTCATTAAGCAACAAATTTACCATAAAATTTTGCTTTTCGTGTGCTTTAATTATCCAAATTTATAATATTCTTACGTTATTTTCATCAATTACATGCTATTAATAATTATAATAATTCACCTAAAATAAACATTCTTAGCACCTATTAGAGCCTTATAATCAAAGGAAATATTTAAAAAATCTATATTTCATTTATATGCGTATAAATGGGAGTATGATAAAGTAATCAATAATAGTCTTTCAGCCATGAAAACACATTAGGAGAAAATTCAATGGTGGAAATGGGAACTAGAAACACAATTCTAGGAGAAAAAGGAATATGTAAATTTCTAGCTATTAAAGTGCTAGGTTCTTTTTTTTTTAACATCTTTACTGGAGTATAATTGCTTTACAATGGTGTGTTAGTTTCTGCTTTATAACAAAGTAAATCAGTTATACATATACATATATCCCCATATCTCTTCCCTCCCACCCCTCTAGGTGGTAACAAGGAGCTGAGCTGATCTCCCTGTGCTATGTGGCTGCTTCCCACTAGCTATCTGTTTTACATTTGGTAGTGTATATATGTCCATGCCACTCTCTCACTTTGTCCCAGCTTACCCTTCCCCCTCCCCATGTCCTCAAGTCCATTCTCTAGTAGGTCTGCGTCTTTATTCCTGTCTTGCCCCTAGGTTCTTCATGACCTTTTTAAAATTTTTTTTTAGATTCCATATATATGTGTTAGCATACGGTATTTGTTTTTCCCTTTCTGACTTATTTCACTCTGTATGACAGACTTGAGGTCCACCCATCTCACTACAAATAACTCAATTTCGTTTCTTTTTATGTAAGCTGAGTAATATTCCATTGTATATATGTGCCACATCTTCTTTATCCATTAATCTGTCAATGGACACTTAGGTTGCTTCCATGTCCTGGCTATTGTAAATAGAGCTGTAATGAACATTGTGGTACATGACTCTTTTTGAATTATGGTTTTCTCAGGGTATATGCCCAGTAGTGAGTTTGCTGGGTTGTATGGTAGTTCTATTTTTAGTTTTTTAAGGAACTTCCATACTGTTCTCCATAGTGGCTATATCAATTTACATTCCCACCAACAGTGCAGGAGGGTTCCCTTTTCTCCACACCCTCTCCAGCATTTATTGTTTGTAGATTTTTTGATGATGGCCATTCTGACTGGTGTGAGATGATATCTCATTGTAGTTTTCATTTGCATTTCTCTAGTGATTAATGATGTTGAGCATTCTTTCATGTGGTTGTTGGCAATCTGTATATCTTCTTTGGAGAAATGTCTATTTAGGTTTTTTTTTTAAAATTATTTATTTATGGCTGTGTTGGGTCTTCATTTCTGTGCGAGGGCTTTCTCCAGTTGTGGCAAGCGGGGGCCACTCTTCATCGCCGTGCGCGGGGCTCTCACTATCGCGGCCTCTCTTGTTGCGGAGCACAGGCTCCAGACGCGCAGGCTCAGTAGTTGTGGCTCACGGGCCTAGTTGCTCCGCGGCATGTGGGATCTTCCCGGACCAGGGCTCGAACCTGTGTCCCCTGCATTGGCAGGCAGATTCTCAACCACTGCGCCACCAGGGAGCCCTATTTAGGTTTTAATAGCATCAAATTGCAAGGTACTTAAATTCTGTCAGATACATTTAAAAGGAGTATTGTAATATTTTTGTTTTAATTTGTCAGTATTTATAATATGCAAATTATATCCTTTGCTATTATAAAAATTTAAGATAAAATAATTCAAGTGTCATCTTTGAAATGTGTATCATTTTCAAAATTCCTGGGGGATATGCAAAAACAAACAAACAAAAAACAAATGAGTGAAAGCCACAGCTTTGGAGGATTCCTTGAGTCTGTGCTGTTCATCTTCTTGGCTAATTCCCTTTATCATATCCTTGCCACCTTTTACCTGGACAAGAGCCTGAACCCCCCAGGGTCTCTCCCTGGCTGAGCAGAATTGACTTTGCTGCCAAAGGGGCCTCCCTACAGACAAATATGGTCATGGAATCCCTTCAAAATCTCTGTTGGGTGTCATCCTACCTGCAGCTTGTTGCTGGGCTTGGTCAACTTTTACATGAGTCATTAACTGAGACAGAAATATTGACTTGGATTTTACTCTTTCTTTCTCAATAAAGGTTTCTGCATTTAGATGGCATAGGACAGAGGTAGCAAATCAGTAGCCCCTGGGCCATATCTGGCTTGAAGATGTGCTTGGTTTGCAATCTAAAACATTTAAAAATAGTTTAAAGGAGAAACACTGGAATCTTGCTAACAGTAAACTTTGTGGCATTTTAACTTGCCATATTTCCATCTCCCCTCCCAGCTCTGCAGTAGCCTTGGAAACCAACATCCCACAACAAAGGTGAAAGCCAGCAGACTAACAGCCATTGGAGGGGCAGAATGGGGTTGGAACTCCTCCAAAGACCCATTCCCAGAGAA